CCTCGGCGGGCTTGGGTTCAGGTGAGGCAGCAGGGGCCGCCTCGGCTTTGGTTGCTGGTGCCGCGGGGGCCTCAGTCTTTTTGGTAGCAGCCTCATCTTTGCTCTCGGCTGCTGCGGTCTTGGACTCAGGCTCCTTGGTGGCAGGGGCTGGGACAGGGGCAGTTGGTTTCTCCTCGGCCTTGGGCTCTGCACTCTTGGGCGCCTCTGTTTTCACCTCCGCATTGGCAGCAGATTTCTCAGACTCCTGTGCAGCAGGGGCTGCATTCTTCTCCTCTTTGGATGCTGCAGCTTCTGCCGCCGGTGCCTCCTTGGCCGCCGCATCATTTGCTACCTCCTTAGTGTCAGCAGCAGCCTGGGCCTCATCTTTGTTCTCTTTCGTTGCCTCGCTCTCCTCAGCAGAAGCCCCCTCTGCTTTGGCATCCTTGTCTTTGGTCTTATCATCATTTACATTGTATCCCTTCTTCTTTTTGCTGAGCTTTCCTCCCATTTTGGATCTCTGGCCTCTGAAACTGCAGGAAACATAAATGAAGTTTAGTATTAAAAGAAACAATTACCTTCATTCATTAAGAAAATGTAATCAGTGCAGTCAGGTGCAAACACTAAACCAACAAACAGCAGAAATGTGACCACAACAAAGTCTTGAGCACTTTTGAAGCTCCTGTTAGAAATAATAAGTGACACAGTAAGTGAGGTTTCAAGCATGGCTCTTCTTCAGGGGATGATTTTTAATGAACGGCAGTCAGTCTCTCTCTCTGTGGCGGTGTGCAAGAGCTTCCATAAGAAGAGAGAGTTGCCCAGCGTCATATTTTTGTCAAGTCAGGCAAAGCTTATTTAAACATGAGGAGAAAACGGAACAAGTTCAAATGTTATAAATAGAGATGGTTTTACTTGCATATTCCATCATCTTGAACCTCTCAGATCAAGGACTTGCAATTAAGAATGCATAAAAACTGCATCCACAGCTGAGATGCCAAACTCAAGAGCAGATTAAAGCACATGTCCCTGTGACACCCTATGAAGCGGCCTTTAAGCTGCTAAAGTTGGCAAATGCAGTTCACACTGCACAGGCAGCATTACTTTACCTGGAGTCTGTGTAGTGATTGCAACATTGCTGTCAAAATGCCATTCAGCACCTTGACTCATGGGACAGACATCTGTCAACAAAAGGTCACATTTAGGTGTTTTTATTCCCCAGTAAAGGTACAAGAACTTGCACACTAGCAGCTATTTTTAATCCTGCTTACACTATGACAGGCAGAAAGTTTACTGTCATCACTCCCCAGTTTCTCCTATGCAGAGCTTGTGGTAAGCGACAGAGCCAAACACCGGATATTCTGCATTCATTGAAAGGTTACGTTCATCCAAATGAACATGAACCGATCCTCTCACTGCCAGATTCAAACAGTGGTGAAGGCAAAGCGATTTTCACTTGTGGCGCTAAACTCATAGGAAAAATAGACATTTAAAGTAGTGATGCACCAAAATGAAAATTCTGGGCCGAAACCGAAACCGAAAATTTAGGATGCACTTGGCCGAAAACCGAAACGAAACCGAAAATGGCTTCTTTTAAAAACTTCAAATTTTTAAAACATGCTTACTCTATAATTGTGTATGTATGTATATATATATTGGCTTGGTATGTTGCATATTGCAACTTTGGTGTCCTCATCTGAAACTTCAAAATCCTTCCATATTGCTGACATGCTTTGTCATTGATGGGGAGACGCGTGATATAACAGCTC